GGTAATCAAGCAGATCGTCGATGAGAACGACGTCCGCTTGCTTCACGGAGATCGTACCATTCATACCAGTATATTCCAGGATGAGGCTAGCCTGGTTGTCGATGGGCACAAAGATCTTACCGATTTGGTCTCTCCAGGTCTCGTTGACTGGAAGTCCGAAACGTTCGCGGAACGCAATTGCCATGGTCAAATGATCCTTGATGAGCACCATCGTATATCCGGGATTGTCTACATTATTTGCATATTCATCCTTTGTCCCTATAAGCTTTGGAAAGATGATGACAGAAGAAAATACTTACAGGATCAGTAGCATTATACAATTCGTACATCCCAGATGTTCCATTGTAGGAAAGAAGCGTTGAGTAAAATGCGGCTATTCCATCATAAACAGGAAACAGTTCATTTCGGAAGTATGACGTATCACCTGATGCTAACCAGTAATTTCTAAATGATAGACCTATGTCGCCGTTGATGTGGTACTCGTAGTCAAAACAGGGGCCGGTCCCGGTGCAGTTTCCGAATCTTCCACTTGTCCAGGGATAAATTGCCGCTTCCACGAATTCGCCAGATTTATCCTTCTGCGACGAGGTGAAGATAGTATCGATGTTCTCTTGCGCTTGCGAAAATTTGGCTACCCTGTACTGAGGGATCTGCTTGGAGGCTTCCGGGTGAGCAAGAACGAGACCGGGAGACATCCAAACTTCGGCATCCCAGAAAATCAAACCCCCATAGCAATCGGAACCTAAGCCGCAGACCGGAATACTATTTATAGTAAGTTTTTGGTTGTTTCCAGCTGCAGCGACAGCATTAGGACCGACTGTGTTCTCGAGAAGATAATAGGAACTGGTTATTGCCTGGATTTGTTCGTCAACAAGATCTTGATTGTCGAGAAGAGATCCATTGCCAGGGTATCGGAAGCTATCCGTGGAATCTTCATTGATGATAGTAGCCCACTCTTGATTATGAGAGTCGTGTAAGGCTTGGTATCCGACCAGGGCCCCGGATGTAGAGGCATTACAAGCGACTGCTTGGGGATCCTCGTATGCGTCATTGGATGCAGCACCAACGTATTTCTCAATCGTGCTGGTATGTCTAGATGAGAGTGCAACTGTGATGGACTGACCAATGGACGACTGGTTGTGGCCAATGATATTGCCATCTTCTACTTGGCTCCAGGTCAATCTGTCTAAGCATCCATCTCCTTTGAGTGTCGAATAGACATATGCGGTAACATTGCTGATCCCATTCGGCCTCACAGCACTCCAGATCGTCTGCGTATCCTCCTCAGCCGCTTTGTCTACAAAATCTGTCCGCACGGCAGAATCTCCGTTCAAGATATCCACGATCGTCACGTTCACATTCTGCTCGGCTGTCAAGCGCAATTGGACAACTGCTTGGTTAACAAAGAGCTTGTGTACAAATATGCTGAATTCCACGTGTATGCCAGGTCCGCCCGGCGGAGTCCAAACATAATCCCATGTCTTCGTCCCAGTTCGGAAATTCATTGTCGAAGAGAAGTTAGAGATCTGTTCTGGCTTGACGGAGGCATTGAGAACATTTCCATTGGCTATGACAGCTAGGCCGCCGAAATGCACGATGCCACTGACTACGCTCTCCCCGCCGTATTGATTCAGCCATGGGAAGTTAGACCCATTTGTTGTCGGCTGAAAGTCATAGAACCCAGCGACCGTGGCGAAGCTCTGGCGACTATTGAACAACGGCCAGCCCTCGATGTCGTCTCCATCGACCGGAGTGTCTCTCTCAAAAAGAGGGCCGACGGCTGCCACATTGATGCCTAGGTAGCCATTCGCCAGTGAGATCCGGGATTGGTAGTGACCCTGTTCTAGAGTAGTCGTCGTGATGCTCCATTCGTTGTCGTCCCAGCTAGCTCCGGGAAATCGTGTTTTGTAATGGTGCTGTGGTGTTGATGCCGATGAGGCTGATGGCCGTTGTGTCGCGTGAACTTCAAACACACTGAAGGATATTACGAGAAGGTGAAAGAGCAGGAGAGAGTACATCTTGATTGAAAGAGAAGATCAATAACTCTGCACAATGCTTATGGCGAATTGACTCCACATTACCAATGTCTTGAGCCTCTAGAGTGAAGATATTGCAGGCAGCTGATCAATGATGCTCCATGTTCCTAGGAAACGCGTCAGGCAGGCTTGAGAGCATGGAACAGATGTGCAAAGCAACCCAATCGGTTTCAATTCTCAGAGGCGGCATCATTATGTTTTTATGTAAAAAAAGGCCCGAGCGGCCTACCTGACCTGACCTATCTGAGTGTCACCGTAAGGCATGATGTCGATGGCAATTCTACTGGTTAGACGATTCAGGGAAATACAAACGAGCCGCAGCGCGGTCGCATGATGATGCTGACGGCTCCACCCGCCAATTGTGAAGCGGCACAGGGAAATCCAGCCGCATGCGTCACTGAAAACCATGGCGTTGGCGTTTGCGGGGGCGGGACAACGGCGCCGACTCTGGGGAGAACGGAGTCACCGGGAGTTTTCTAAATTTTGGTATGGAGTATTAAGCTTCGGATTAGCTACTGAATGCGAACCACAAGATGGGGTTGATCCGTATGGCTTGGGATTCCCATGATTGCGACAATAAATTCCAACGAAATGAGGGACCGCGAGGTACTCCTTCCCTACATTGATGTGGCCTCATATCATCGAGAGCAGATGGCGATCGTGGGACTTCCACTCCTTTTGAAACAAGACCAAGGAATCTATCAGTAAGTGGCAAATCGGTCGGAGCGTGCGTTACGGAAGTTTTTGGAGATCTCATCAGGGTGTGGCATGAGGCATATTGGTGCAATTCAAGATGTGTGATATTTTCACGTCCATTCTTATCAGGACCCCTCAGCATATTTCATCTGTATCTTGAAAAGGATGGAGGGAATCGAGCAGGAACAGCTAGAATGCCTCACGTGTTCGTTTGCATCTCCACACAACCTAGCAAAGCCCCAGTGGGATCTTAAGGCACGTATGCTTCCGCGATATTTCTTTTCACGCGCTCTTGAGACATCTTCTTAAACGTTTGTCACCTGTGCCCGATTTAGTCCTCCTGTCATGAGAAGCAAGCGAGTGATGAGACCAAGGTACCCTATAGCGCTAGCCAACTTTTGATAGATTGGTGAGTTGCACGGTCCCATCCCAGTCTTTCCATCCACAAATCGAAGTTGGACGACCACCGTTGAAGCTCATCTTCATGCAAGTGGAATTGCACCATAGCTAACATCCCTAGTGCAAGATACCCACATCCTAAAGGATAGCTTTCGTACTAGCCTGTGGTTCTGATAGCTACCTCATCGTCTTCACGGCTTCACTGTCAGGGATCAAGCAGTCTCTTAGAGTCCAAACCGGTAGGAAGTCTAAGTTTTGCATTAATATCTCTTTATTGAAGAATCACGATGCTTAGAAACCCTCAATGACGATTGGAAGATTCTAAACGTTACAATTTTGAGCGAGATCCGATAGACTGGAACCGGCAATGCGCATCGTCGCTACCCATCCCACTGAGGCCAGCGGATAGAGTCAGGTGCGTTTGTGAAGAGAGCGACACTGAGCTTTGGTTTCTGCACCATACTAACGCAGTTCGGGAGGTCGATGACAGGTTGAGGATATCTGCATTGCGGTACACCAAGGTTAATCTCATGGGTAAGCCATCCTGTCTCTCATCCGCCCTATTCTTCGTCTGTGTACGTTGCATTCATGAGCATCACACTACCATTTGTGCAACAGGCGATCAAATTGAGAAAAGACCGGTAGAGGAAAGCAACCCGTACGACACGTCGTTGACATTCTGGCTCGTAGGTAGCGACTCAACCCACCAAGGGTGAGAGGCTGGAGCTAATCGGGTCCAGCATCCTTGCGTTAGACAAAATCGGTCTTCGTAAACGTGTCTTATTTTGACAAAGGTTCAGAAGTACCTCAATGGGCTATGGTCTGATGCTACTGATTCTCATGCAAATGAGAATTGCGTGGTAAGCTTTGCTTGAGAGCTTTTTGCTGACAGAGAAAGGCTCTATATCCACTCTGAGTATACTCTAGACAATTCTAGGTGAAGTCGAGCCGTGAGAGGCGACGTGATTGGCATTAGAATTAGCGATGAAGATGACGAGAACGCCAACGCTGTGGGGTAAATCCTCGCTAGAGTACCAGGCAAAATACCTCCGCCTCTTCCGGAGGCTGTTCCGACTGGAAAGGCAGAGCTGAATACGATGAGCTTATCTGCTCGATAATGACAGCGAAAGTAGTGGATCAGCTCTTGCCATATGCAATAAATAACGACTCTGTGTTCATGGAGGATAATACACCAACGGGGACCGGGGTCTCCAACTTACTCGAGAGGATGCGTTTGGCAGACGGTGAAAGACAATATCACAACCCCTTGTCAGGAGCCAGCCGCTGCTAAAGGCGTTGCTCTCTGTATATAATGATGTTCTTTGTGTTTAGGGATTTTGTGAGTTTGTTCTGCTGCCGCCAATCCTTTTCGACTCGATTCTTGCCCACTGGAGCAACCCGAGGAAAGGCATGAAGTGTCCGGGCTATCGTTGATAGGTTTTTGCTTAGTTTTGTAGAAAATTGACCTGGTGTATGAGTACAATGAGAGCTGAGCTTCACCACCATGGATTTTCTACCAAGTCGTCCTGAGCACACATAATTCTCGGTTTACGATAAGCAAGTGCCATCAGTACACATAGTGCAGGGCACTGTAGCAGTATGTCTTCCGGCTCTGAATAGAAAGGGACATCACTCAGACGTATTGTCTCTAAAAGGGTCCTACTTCGAAAGAACGTGGTGTCTGAATGAAGAAGTCATTTAGCTAACGGTTTAGGAGGAATCCCCAGTATCACAGCACCCCTTACGCAAGTCACCAAGTCCTGAAAGCTCATTTTCAGCCGGTTTATCATCGATGGGGGGTGAATTCCAGTTTGCCTTTTGGGCTGATGGTCTAGGTAATTAGTTTCTACATCTTACTTCCAAGCTGTTGGCTAAGTGAATAAGGGGTATGATTTTCGCTTCGCATTGTCCGACAATGTGTTCTGTGAAAGGCCGGGGGTTCAAATCCCCCTCAGTCCAGTTCCTTTTTTTGCCTTTCTCAACTCCGTTTGCTTACAGTTTTACAAAGGTCGGCTGGTGGCAATTAGGTTGGGGTTGGGTACCATTTGTAGGTATTATAATCCACATGTGCGCACAATACCACACCAGCCCCTTCATTGAACACATCTCACTTCATTTTGATGCGAATGAACCAGTATGGCCAGATCGATCAGTTAGTACACCATTGAGGGACGGAACCAACCGCACACAATTTTATTGTATAGAGGGATAATGCCTAACGGACCATAGGTCGATATGATGAAGCGTTACTCACGCAAGTCTACAAGTATACAACGTACCTGTGATTTCCGCTTATTCTCGACAGTGAAGTCTTGAGTTCTTACGAAACAAGTTACAGATGAGACAAGGTTTCGGTAGATTTCGGGTTCGGGATGCACCTGCGGCCAAAAGTTGTATCCACGTAGAATTATGCGTCACAATACAACATAGAAGTGCGGTGAAACCTCTGACCGCAGAAGCCATACCTTGCGAGGAACTCCTAGAAGAATCGCCAGCGGTGCTTATTGAGCATGAACTAATTAAAATGACCACAACCTCGCTCACTAATATCGAACAGTTAAGTGGAGCAAATGTGGTAGGGAGACCTTGGTATCATGCCGTTGAGTCAATCCTGCAAGCAGCATTCGGATCTGACAACACTCTTGATGCGGCGACGGTCAAGTCGTTTTTTGAAATTTCTCCGCGGGTGTCCAACTTGGCCAAGCAAAGGGCTTCCACCTTTGCAACTATTGCAAATTCGATGTATGAAGCGCATTTCTTAGCCTTTTCGTCAAAGATAATAATATAGCAATCGAAGCGTATGAAAGAAATTCGCTTTAGGACTGAAAAGGGAAATTGCCAAGAACAGCAAGTCCATTGCAGACAAAAGGGCGACTATCCCCAGGGCATCAATTTTAAGCGAAGGCTCATCGAGCAAACCTAAAAAGTTGCGGTCGTTTCCGGCCGGGGCACCCCTCGAACGCAACACCACGTAACCATGCGTGCCATGTAGCACATGCGTGCGACATGGCTGTGTGCATTAGAAAGCAGCGGTGTCGCGCAATCACCGAGTAATCAATGGATTATGGATGCGATGCGACTAAGACACCGACTAGCCAGAAAACTTACACGAGGGCCCAGTCATGCAGGCGATGGTGTCAACTCCGCTCATGATGATGAGGTTGTTCCCGTGGTTCCGTTGAACGAAGCACCGAAGACTTCCAGTTGTGAGGAGAGAGTGCGGAACGGAACTTCCGCGGAACGTTAATAATGATCTATCATGTGGATGCCTGACGAGATTGTCATGAGGAAACCGGATGCGGATGGGAGGGCGTGCCGGATCGCGGCAGCTCGCTCAGTGCGGCCCGCCGAGTTGTGCCTACCAGTCGGCGAGGGAAAACGAGCGAGCCAGCGAGTAACAAAGCACCGAAAGGCAGCGACGCGACAAGCAACTGAGGTACGTATCGTGTCAGCCTTAGGTGCTTAGTTGCCAGAGTAAACGGGCGGAGTCTCGCCCGAGCATCTTCTTTCATGGCCAAATTACCACAACCGTTGGCTCTGGGAGTGTTTGATGAGTGGCTTTTGGACGCTCTAGACCCGTCCCATGGGCTTGGCTCAGCTACGTACCGATTAGTATGAGGCTGAGAAAATCACCGGTGACGGTTGGGTGGATGCTCGATTTGTATGCAACCAAGCTGTTGGAAGGAAGGAACAAGTTTGGGATTGAAACATCATTCAACTGGTTTGATTATTCGATTCGCCTCTACCTCTAACTCTATCACTGAGCGAGGGAGACCCTAGATACAATGATGATAAAAAAAGCCCCGTTCGTTCCTTCGACGGCACCACTAGTGCGCCTTGCCAATTCAATGTGAGTGGAAATGTCCAACCAAAGATCATCTTGATCTAGTCCCGATACAGAAAATGGATATCGTGTAAATGCTTTTGAAACAGAAGACCATCCCCATGATCGCTTACTCGCTAGAGACGCTCGATAAAGAAGTAGCACAAGATGAACAGATTGCCGATCATGCAGCAACTTCAATCATCGGGGCGTTCCTCTGCGGAATGAAGTATCCATCTTCTATGAAGGAGTCGTGGCTATCAGATGGGAGCGATGTAGCTGGTGCTTCCTCTTCGCTGAAGAGAGCGGTCGTTGTGATGGCTTGTCGCTGCTTCTCTGATAATTCGAAGGATGGTTGAGGTGGTGATAGTGGTTGAGATTCGTCCTCAGAGTCAGAATCGTCGACAAGATCAGGAGGGTGAGAGGATGTTCGTGTGAGCGCGTGTTCTTCGTCGTATTCAAAATCCTCGTAGTCCTCATCATCGATCTCCATAGCAGTGACATATTCTGCCGGTGGTGATCGTATCCGTCGAAGAGGAACAGCCATCTCAACATCCTCATCGAAGACATCGTTCTCAGAGTCGCTATCTGAAGTCTCGGAAGCGTCATCATCTTGCTCCTCATCTTCGTCTTCGCTGATAGTGTCAACCCATTGGATGTGAGATCGCTTGGAAATTTCCTTGTCGGCCTTGCGAACGGTCTCATTGAACCATGCCTCTTGCTCTTGCTCAGCATCGGCAAGCTCGAGCATCAAGGAGTCGAGAAGATTTGCGTGACCAACAAGAAGACGGAGGTTGTGGTCGGGGCGAGCGGCCTCACGACCAAGTTTCGTCCTTGCCTGAGAGGCAACGAAGTAGGTTTGGGTGAGGCTCATCTTTTGCTTCTTCAATGGTGGTGAAGCTGGCGATGAGATGGATTGAGAGGAGATGGCGACAATAGGTTCTTCAAGAGAAGATTGGTATCTGAGATGGGAAGGCATCTTAGGCAGCGAGAATATCCCAAGGCTGCAAAAAATGAGTCAGTATTAGTCGTAGTAAAGTTTTTGTGACTGCCTGTGAGGACTCACGTATTTGCTAAGGAAGAAGCCGTTGTGCGTGGACCAATCGGAGACTAGGCGGTGACAATGCTGCACCAGAGATCGGAAGCCTGATGAATTGTTCTTGGATTGCTTTCGAAACTGTTTCCAATTCGAAGCTGTGATGATTCTCTCTTGATCTCGTAGTTCTTGATGTTGTTTGAGAGGTTGATGGAGTTCTGAAACCTGGGGACAGTCAGCTTCTTTAATCTTTGAGCTGCTGGAGCTGACCAACATAGGGTAAATCGGGGTCGGTGAACGGGGATTCTCTCCTAAGACCGCTTCTCGGCCGTTATGGCAGAGTCATCCCCGCGGCGCACGCCAAGCACCCCAAGAGTCCTGCAAGCCCAAGTCATCATCTCCTGCCCATCCCTGCTGATCCCTGCTCACCCATCGGATTTGTGAGCAAGTCCGACCCCTCGTTGCCTCGAGACAAAGGCTGCACGCTCCGGCTAGGACTTAAAGCGGCGCCGAAGCTTCCATGCAGTGGTGTACCAAACCATGACTCTGATTACACAGCACTCATCTCTCCGCCCTTTTAATTTCGTGGCCCAATGTTACCGCGCGTGGATTGCGGCTTTGAAATCTCTCCGCCAGATGCACTGCTGCACTGCATGGTGATGGTGACTCAGCCTGGGTGATTACTCACCGCACATTTTCTCTATGCGACGCTTCGTCGTGATTTCCTATTGCATCTAATCGTGCTTGCCCTTGCTAATGTTACGATAGGCAGACGGTGAAAGCAGCCTCGCAGTGCATGCCTACTTGTTGCCTGGCCTACAGAGACAGCTTGCGACGAAAAAAACGCGGCGCCACGTAACGACACAAAGGCTGGGGTTCGGGTCCTTTCTCTCCTTCATTAAAAGACTAAATCAAAAGCGTAATAATATGCGATGTGTCCGAATGCGTCCTATGATTCGTAATGGACTTAAGAATATGGTTTTGGACGCGGCGTTTGCGCTCACATCCTCGCGTCTTCATCCAATCGCGTCTTCGCCCAACTCGGCGCGAAGATCGTTCCGCTCAGGATACGTAGAATGCACAATCTCCATCGGACCCGAAGTGCACGTCACCTTCTCGCAGGTGAGCCTAGTTCTGCCGAGCCGGACCCGAGCAGCGGGAACGGCAAAGCAATCAGGCCGCCTCGACTGAATATTGGACCGTGGGCCAACCACAGCCCGTCGCAGATCGCAACCATGTGCCACGTTGTGCTGCTGGACTTGCTTAAGACCGAATGGCATTTTCACTTTTCCATCCCATCTCGAGAATTTTGGAGGTTACCGATACTTTTGTCCACGCACGGTAGAGAAGCCGCCCCGGCAATCATTGTAGAGTCATGCGCAGTGGTTCGATTTCCGTTCGACTATATTTCAAATTGATTTTTGGAATGATCTTCCAAGGCCCCAAAAATTGGCCATGGAAGCTGTTCTGATTGGACGACAACTCGACAAATTATCAGAGTGCTGACAAAGTCGGCCTGATGAGTTGCAGGGGTGTCGCGTGCGTTGACCCAGCTTGCTGGTTTCCTCTCCCCGCGCGGCGGCGATAACGGAACGGCCGTAACATCTCTTTTCTCCACTGATTGTACGGAGGTAACCACTCGGTGACTCCTCGCGCTGTTATTGGAATAACGACTTTGTCTCGTGTTGTGTTTTGCAACCCATGTCGCTCGCCAAGTAGCAGAAAACTTTCTTCTGAACAGTCATCGTTTCTGAATAAGATGTCGATATTTTCAAAATTTCCGTGAGTTGTGGGGGCTGTGAGAAGTCTGTTTGGAGCTAGTACTCAGCCTCGTGAACGTGGGTTGCCTTGTAACTTTCCTCAGCTCGTCCCGTATCCCCTGCTTCAGGAAACATGCTTCCACATTCGTGGCTGACTTGCTCACCGGCGTTGCCTATTCCAAACATTGCTATCCTCCCAAGCTGACACGGTCACAGCGCAGCACATGGCAGCCCTGCAAATCATGCAAGGGACCAGCCTCAGCCTTGTTGATCACACCGACACCCTGCAGGCCAGTCATAAATTGCGTTGCCAGGGCTGGAGTAGCATCTCTCACTGCA